CAGGAATCTGATGAGGAGAAGATGCACTATCAGAATGGTCATGGTACGTAAGACAACTTAAAATCTATTATCACCGACAAATTTGGAGACATTTCCTCATATAATGAAGGTTTACAGTTTTTATCCACCTTTTCATGCATGAGACAGCAGTTCTTCTTTCCTGTTCTTCTTCTGTCCCATTTCTTCCACCAGGTTTCCACCTAAAGCAGCTGAAATGTGATGTTTCTCTCAACCCGACTTATGTGACCAAATGCTAATGTTTCTGTTTATCTTAGTATCATTCCCTGATTCACGGTTCTATATCGACCCACACACCTATGAGGACCCCTGCCAGGCAGTCCATGACTTTGCTCGAGAAATTGAAGCATCCAGGATCAAAATAGAAAAAATCATTGGTTCAGGTAAAACTATGGACATTAAATCTTTACAAAAAGACTCACATCAGAAATCATCTTTGCACGCTCTTAGCTCCGTCTCTGAAGTTGCTCTTCACCTCGATCTCTGAATGATTCAGAATTTCAACCTCCTAAAAGGATGAAAAAAATGGTGTACACATTCACAGTACTGCTGTTCTTTTTCTCACATTTTCAGGAGAGTTCGGAGAGGTTTGTTACGGACGCATGAGGCTTCCGGGGAAACGAGACATCCCAGTGGCGTTGAAAACGCTGAAGGCAGGGTACACAGAGACACAGAAGAGGGACTTCTTGGCAGAAGCCTCCATCATGGCCCAGTTTGATCATCCAAACGTTATTCGGCTTGAGGGGGTGGTAACTCACAGTATGCTGACGCTCTTTAATTGATGCTTTGCAGAATTAGTAAAATGTCAATATTTTAGCGAAGATCTGCTTTAAAAATATGAGAGGGGGGGAAGTATGGGATATGCAGTTACTGTGCCTAAAAATCAGATCATCCAGTCAAATTGATACAAAGTTTTCTATCTAAGGAAAACCAGTTGATTGCATTGACTCATTGACTTAAATACAATCCCTCACACTAAGCATGCTTGTAGCGACAGTGGAAAGGAAAAACTCCCTTTTAACAGGTCCCGGCAACATATATATAACCCTGAATGTTTTTTCTTTATGTCCAGGTAAACCGGTGATGATCGTCACAGAGTACATGGAGAATGGCTCTCTTGACGCCTTCCTAAGGGTTGGTATTCATACTCACTGCTGGTCAATATTCATAAAACAACATTCTCTGCTGATTGTGAAGATCTCAGCCATCCAGGTCAGAGTCATTCCAAAACAGTAAAAAAAAAAAAAAATCCACTGGACTTTATTTCCAAGTTTGAAGACGTTTCTCTTCCATCCAGGAAGCTTTTTCAATTCCAAATGTCAGAAATAGCGTT